CTGGGAGATATCATCAGGAAACATGGTGTTAGCTTTCACTGTTATGCTGATGATACTCAGCTCTATATTTCTTCGCGGTCCCGCGAAGCATACCAATTTGAAAAACTAACGGAAAGCATTGTCGATATAAAAAACTGGATAAGTAATTTCTTACTGCTAAATTCTGAAAAAACAGAGGTGTTAATTACTGTGTGAAACAACAACTGATAAGATGGATTAACAACAGATATTTGTATCTCTTGTATGTGTACTGATCACTTATGTATTGTGTGTTGACTTTTTTTGTCATGATTGGGTACGGCAGAGGGACTGTATATAGGGTATTATTATTGACTAGTCTTGTACTTTTTATAATTTTGTACTTTTTTATTGTTATCTTGTCTCTTCTTTATTTCTCTTTTATTGTGATAATTGCAATTACAATGTAAAACTCTGTCTGGAACAGACAATGCAATAGTGGTAAAAGCATGTTTACTCACACTTATGTCTTGCGACATTACTGTTGGATCTACTCAAGTCAGACTCGGCGCTGCCATCATAGTTTACTTTCAGTCTCTCTGAAAAGCCTGCATCATACTGTCTTGTTTAAAAATGAATCCGTAGCCAAGTAAAAACGGTGCTTAGCCACACTATTACGTCATAAAGTGGCACATTCAAAAACGATTCCTTTTTTGAGCTTGGTTTAAAAAAAAAAGCAGTTTTTAAACTAATAAAAAAGTTTTGAGTTTTGAAACTTACAGGATGTTTTTATAGTATATTGACCTGTTAAATGTCAAAAGATCAAGGGAAATTTGATTTCTCAGTTCATGACCCCTTTAATTTTCATTTGATTAATTAAATTAAATGTCTTAATTTGATTAGCAGAAAAATTTAAATACACAACACACAATTTCTGAAAAAAACTAATTTCATAGGGCCCTATTGTTGTAAATGATTTAACAAGCTTTTTTTTTTTTTAATTAATGCAACTGATTAGCCATGCTTTTTGATTATTAAAATTGAATTACATCATTAAAATGGAAACCAGAAAAGTTGAATTGAAAAACTGAATTTGAAAAAAAAAAAAAAAAGTAATTTGGGATAATAAACCTGACTTCATAGTGCCTTACGTATAGCAACATGAAGTCATATCTCAACTCCACAACATTGTACAGTGGTTGGCTCTCTTGCAATCACGCAGAACACTTTACAACTGCCTAGTGCAAAGTTTTGTCATGGCAAGTGCCACTCACATCATCTTTAGAAAGTGTACATGTCTAGTTCTACTACAGGTGCTCATCTCTTTTCTTTTCCCTCTCCTACTTTGACAGAAACTTCAGGAATTTCAGCACAGTCTTAGTTGTCAGCGCATTTCCAGGTCATGCACTGTTATAGCCATTCCTCAATTCCACCTTTATTCACTCATAAATCTTTTTGTAAATGAACTCCGTGATTAGAAAAGAAAAATGACTACTAATGGTTTCAAATACAAAACAAATTACATTCTGCTTGCATTCACCTGTTAGCTTAGCTTTCTCCACATCGGCATTGCCATCTTTTTTCGGCTGAAGTACTTGCATCCTTGATTATACTTTATTCAGTTCCTTTTCTTTGATTAATAATGGTTGTCTGACTCCTCATTTCTGCCCTCCCACTCATTTCACTCATCTGAACAGTGAACATGTATTTAGCACTTTAATTTCGGGTGATAAACATGACTGACTATGTGGAGCTACTGATTATGTGGACATCCACAGCATTTTAACTGGAAGTCCCGTTTCCAGTCTTCCAAAAAAAAAAATTATAATAATAATTTAAATTAAATTAAATTAATCATTCAAAACACATTACATTCTCCACCAAATCTCAGTTCTATTACCTGCAGTTCTAGGATAAGCTGTTGAAGGTTCCGGATCACCTCTATATTCTCCTTCAATTCCTGGTCTTCCAGGGTTTCCACCAGCTTCTGTAGGTCCACCTTACACCTAAAACAGTGACAAACCTTTTCATTATTGAGAATTTGTTCAGATTTCTAAGCATATTCATGAACCTCACTGGTCCACAGATTGGTAAAACATTGATACTTACGCTGCATGCTGCCTCAACTCCTCCAGTTTGCTTTGCAGTTTCTCATTTGTCTGCTCCATCTAAAGAACAGCCAAACAATTAAATTAATACACAAAATTAGAAGAAAAATAGTTTAACCATACAATAAAGAAATTAGGTGGCAAAAATAGCCAAAGCTTCTATATTGTCAAACAACATCACAACCAGAATCAACATGTCAATGGTGGGTGAATGAAAAGTGATTAAACTATATTTAGCCATTAACCCTTTTTATTTTACCAGCAAACCATGCCAGAACATTGGTCATTTTCAGCATCAAACACAGATAATGGATAAACTAACATTCCCTGAACCACACAGAAGATGATGTCCAAAAAGTCTTACCATGATGATCCTTTCAAACATAAGAGTCGTCTGTCCTACAGCCTCACTCAGCTCTCGGCTCAGCTTGCTGTTTTCACCTTGCAGACAGCGATTCTGCTCCAGGATGTTTGACACATTCTCTGCTGGCTCAGACCTACAAACCAAACACATCTTGATGAATTAAGCTTTGAAAACAAAAGTCAAAAATCAATAAATCACGTGAGGACATGTTAAAGTAGTTTTATCAGGGTTAATGCTAAAAGGATAGTTCACTAAAAAAATTCTCTGTTCTCAATTACTCAAGCTCATGACATTCTAAACACATAAGACTTTCTTATTCAAAACACAAGAGAATAAGGAAGCTGCAAGCAGCAACACTACGGTGCAATCGCTACTTGGTGGTTTTAGTAAAACATTGCATGGTGGGCAAATGCATTTATCAGGG